TTTAAATTAATTGAATATATTTTATAAATTTATTATATATAGAAAATTTAATATTGTTAAATATATTTTTAAAAAAATAAGTTTTTTTATCAAATAATTATAAATATTAAATCAATTTAAAAATCAATATATATAATTTATATAAATAAAATACTAATAATATTAAAACCCGTTAAAACTTAATATTCAAAAATCTGTTGTTATAAAAAGTGATAGAAAGGTAGAGTTATCTTTTGAATTGAAAAAAAGAAAAGAACTGAGTTTAATCAATAAATTATGATATAATTGATTATTAAATTTAGGTTTGCCCCCCTTTTTTTACCTAATATTTAGCACAATACATTATAGGTTTTCGTTTTAAAGTTAAACTTAAATTTTTTTTCCCCAGGCCCCCCTAGCTCCGCTTCTGTTCATAAGTCAAGTCAGCAGGGTCTTGGTTAGTAGGATAGGATTGGCAAGTCAAAGTCTTTGTCCCTCGTCCCTACTTTCTATCATCGAACACACTTTAGTATGGCCAAGGTCTGTTTACCTCTTCCACTAAGCCAGCCAGGCAAAGAGCCAGAAATTGAAGGTAGGGGCGAGGGGAAAGGTTAGAATTTTTATTGTGAGTTATATACTACTTCATGTTAATATAATTTAAACTAATTTTTATGTTAGTAGTTTATTTTATGTATGTATCACATATTTATGCATGAAAAATTTTAAATTAATTAGATATATTTAATTTTATCAAGAAAATTAAATATATTTAGTTATTTTTGAATGATATATAATTCAAAATTCTTAAATAAATAATATAAAAATATAGTTTATTTTTTAAAATGGTTACCTATATGATAACATCTTTAAATTTAAAATGTATTATTTATATGAATAAAATAAATTCAACCATTATTTTTGTAGTATATAAATTGTACAAAAAAATTATATATAACTAATGTAAAAATTTATATAAGTTACATCAATATAATTAATTAGATCTTAATTATTTTTTTAATATTTTCTCTTACCTAGACCAAATTATCATATCTAAAAAATTAATCAAAAAGAGAAATAATTTCTTTACCTAAATCCTAATTTTTTTTATATATATTTGAAATGATCCCAATAATTTAAAACCTCAAAAAACAAAATTTTGTAGAAAATAAAAATTAATGTACCATATTTAAACATTTTCAAAAGCTAAGGGGGGGGCAATTGCCCCCCCTTGTCTGGCTCCGTCCCTGCACTAAACTCTAATTCCACCGTAATGAATTAATTCAGTCTTAATTGACTACTACTTCCAAAGAATTAATAATAATAATAATAATAATAAAACGCATTTCTATTATGAAAATAGATTCTTAGGTAATTGATCCACAAGAACAAACTTTTTTTACAAGACAGAACATGGTAAGGAGGGTTGTTTATTTATCCAGGCAGAAACTTAACATTCACTCCTACTGGGATAGATTTACTCACTACCCTTTCTTTCCAGCACGCAGATCTCTAAAGTAGCCTTTGGGATCGTCTTCAAACGGCTTCCTTGGCATGTAGGTGCCCCCTCCGCCCGGAGCTTTCATCATACGCTCCTCATTATTGTTCTCCCCATTAGCGTTACTCTCGCTTCCCATCTGACCGGCTATGACCGCCAGGCCCACCCCCAGGCCCACCACTGCTGCTCCCGCCGCCACCAACAGTTTCGTTACAGAAGGAAATGTGCTAGAACCGTCTCTGCTAGAACTGTCTCCCATTTTGGAAATTGAATGTGAAAGACGTGAATATGAAAATGCTATAGAAGGACTGATGCCTTTGCCGATTATTTATAGGCAAAAAGTGGCAAATTGCTAATTACTAATTGCTTATTTAAAGGTCACCTAATTTGCGAATAAAGCACCAACGAATATGGTTTTAATAAGTGGAATTTAATCCATGGTCATTTTTCTTATAATAATAATAAGAATAATAATGTTTTTCAATCAAATTTTTAAAAAATTAAAAAAAAATCTCAAAATTATGTTATTTTATTAAAAATTTTAAGAGTTATGTGACTAATAATAATAAAATAATAATCTATATTAATTTGTCCCAATTAGCATTCAAAAATAACCAATGACTTAAGTAACTTAACAGTCATATTTTTCTGTTAGAAGCAATGAATTTGAATTTAAATTAATATGACATGTATATAAGATGTAATAAGAAATAAGAGATGATTAATTTCTGTTATGCAATCAAAATAAAAATAAAATTACCATTCAAAAATAAGAGTCTTAATTTCAAAAACATCACACTCTAATAAATATTTTTAAAAATCAATAATTAAATTTATTATTTTATTGGTATAAATTAAGCATATCAATTTTTAAATTGATTGAATATTATTTAACAAATTCATTATTTGTGCAAAATTTAACACTGTCAAATATATTTTAAAAAATATAAATTTTTTAATCAAATAATTATAATTGAAAATTAAAATTAAATTTGCTTTTTTACCTAATAATTAGCTTAACATACTACTCCTCTTTTTTGTTTTAATTAAAGTTAAATTTTTTTCTCCAGGCCCCCTAGCTCCGCCCCTGTTCATAAGTCACCAGGGTCTTTGTTAGTGGGATAAGATTGGCAGGTAAAAGTCTTTGTCCTACTTTCTTCCATCAAACACACTTTATTATAGCCAAAGTCTTTTTCCCTCTTCCAAACAAACTCCATTTCCACGAAAATGAATTATTACCCCTTAATCAATACTATTTGTTAAATCCGACTGTCATTAAGCTCCAAAAAATTTTTAAAAAAAATAAATTTAAATATTACTTATCAATCAATATTATTTGTTAAATTTTACTACCATTAAAACCTAAAATATATTTAATACTATTTATTAAATTTTGCTACCATTAACATTCAAAATATATTAAGCTCAAAAATTAAAAAAATAAAATAAATTTTTAATAGGCCACAACCACATAATTTACCTTAAATGATATAAGATCCACACTATAACTAGTAATGATCGATCAACATAGACCTACATCTATAAAAAGTAATCACTTTAATACCATCTAAAATAATCCAAATCAAAATTTATTATTGATTTAACAATTATTTAACTCAAGATATATTAACCCTCAAAATTTTAAATTTAAATTACTAATAATAATTAATCTACACATTTATACACTTTTACTCATACTTCAATTCTGACGTTAGATTTTGATCGTTGAAAGAATTATTAAAAATAACATTTCTATTATAAATTATGATTTCCCTTAGGAGAATAAGTAAATAAGTCAGTCAATGGCACTGTTAATATTCAAGATAAATTGTTCCTGTGGAGGCCCCATCCCCTTAGGGGAGTTAATTATCCAGTGTGGCATGGTAGAAAATCCCAAGTCATGGTCTACGTTAGTCGCGGAAGATGAAAAAGGAAAAGGAAAGGAAAGCATTCCAGATGCGATAGTCTGAGAAAAAAAATGTAAATAAGAATTTAAAGTTTGTCATTGTTTTATTTTAAAATGTAAATTTTATTGATTTTAAAAAAAATTAAATTTTTAATTTTTTAAATTTAAAATATTATCTTTGTGTTTTTTATTTAAAAATTAATTAAATAATTTTGTCATTTTAATATTATAATCTAATTAATTTTTAAATAAAAAATAAAAAATTAATATTTTGAAATATAAAAAATTAAAAACTTTATTATTTTATTTAAAAATTAATAAAATTTATATCTTTAAATAAAAAATAACAAATTATATATATTTTTATACACTTTCTCGTAAAATTTCATTAAAATTAAAGTTGGATTCTCTCCTCAATTGATGAGATTTAATAATTTAATAATGTAAACGAAAACTGAAAACATCCTGCAAACTTCCTTTCTATAATTTCCAGAAAATCGATTGAGTCCTGTGAAGCTACTTAGAAAGCAATTCTGCTAATGGACCCACTTATACATATATCATTGGGTGGAGTGGGGACCAAGTTACAAAATCAATCCCAAAACGAGGTCATCGACAACCGAGGTAAAATGGAAAGGGAACTCTTTTGCTCCTTTCGGTGAGAAAGGGTTAGGAAATGGACCTACTTGTAAGAGTAGCATTATAAAAGAGGAAAGGGAACTCCTTTGCTCCTTTTGGTGAGAAAGGAAAGGAGTAGGAAATAATGGACCTACTTGTAAGAAAAGCATTATAAAAGAGAAATCCCATTAATTAAAGTTAAAGTTGGATGTCCTTGATTGATGAGATGAGTTAATTGTATATAAATGAAAAACAATGGTAGTCAATTATTAGAACTTTTATGTGTTTACCGAAGGTAACTAAGAATGGGACGTCGTTACGTACACTAGTTATTTTGTGAAGATCATATAAATTTAATTTAATTTAATTATTAAAAATAAGTAATAATTAATAATTATTATTTAATAAATTAAAATTAATTTATAAATTAATATTTTTAAATATTATCATTAGTTAATTAAAAAATTACAAAGTAATAAAATATAAGTCAAAATAAATAATTTTTTTAATAATCTAAATAAAATAATAAGTGATTAAAACTATACTTAAGAATATATGGTCAAGGTTACCTAATTTGTCAATGAAGCACCAAAGTCTTTATCCTTGATTTCTTTTTTATTTTTTTATTTTTTTGGTTTCCCAATCGGTATTCGAGGTTTCACCCCGACTAATCCAGATCGACCCGCATCACGCACCTGAAATTGGTGGGTGAGTCTCCCAACGGAAACTGCTGCATTCACAAGGTCTCGAACTCGAGACTTTGCTTAAACTGTAACAAGCCGCTTACCACTTGATCCAACCCCTAGTTGGTCTTTATCCTTGATTTCTTACCTCTTCCGATAAA